CAATAAAACAAAGAGAGAAAAAGAGAGTGGAGAGAGAAACAGAGATATTAAATATGGATGCCGTGAGGGATGTTGATAGTTGATAATAAAGACATTATGTCCGGGAGATTATTTCTATCACATATTTAGGCGAACAGTTCAAATCTATATGTATAACCGTCAAAGTATTCGGTTTTCAATCCTTTCTACTTTTTCCAATATCGTACACAAATAATATGATTCGATTTTTACACTTAGCTACCCCCCCCCAAAGAAAAAAAAATGGACATCAAATACCCCTACAAAATGAATATTTCACTGAACTGCAAGCCTGCCAAAATGAAACGATTATTTTTCAGCATTGGTAAAAAAAAAAATAGAAATGAGATGAAAAGGATGACCGCCATGGCGACCAGAAGTGCAATGCACTATGCACGACATATAACATCATTATTATCTATTCAATGAGCCATGTCATGAGCACCTCGATAAGTTTAATTGTTAAAAACCGAATTTATTTCTACAATGATTAGGATAAGTATACGTGATCATAAGCTGATGAATGCAGTGTTGAGAAACCGCGAGTATACAGTAATGTTGGCATAGTGATATGTTATAAATTATTCAAAAACAATTTCCGTCATTCGAGGCCAATATGCAACAAAAGATTATGAAACTTCAAACTTGCTAAGCTCTACCCCCAAAACCTCCAGATCTCATTCCCCTTGTGACATCATCTGTCAGTCATCAATGAGCTAACTTGAGAAAGTGGTATGTATCTTTGCCGAAGTCGAACACCTGTTACAATACGTAATACAATAGTAACATACAAGTTGCTATGTCAGACATGCTGTAGCATCACAAGGAAGACAAAGGCAATGAGGATGTATTGTACACAGGCGCGTACGCAGGATTTTTTCAAGGGGGGGGGGGGGGGGTTTAACATTTATAAATCGGGCCGAAAATTTCGCAACGATAAGAGGACACTTTTTTTTTTTTGGTCTCGAAATGTGAAAATTTGACATTTTGCTCCGTTGGGGGGGGGGGGGGGGGGGGTGAGGTCACCTTTTTTAGGTCAGCCATGGGAATAATTTTTAACCAAAGGGGGGGGGGGGTTTAGGGGGGTTATGGGGGGGGGGTTTACACACAAAAAAATACCAAAGGGGAGGGGGTTTAACCCCCTAAAACCCCCCCCCCCTGGGTACGCGCCTGTATAATACAATACAAAAACAAAATAAATCATGTTACTTTATGAAGGGTGATACTAAGATAACTGACAGTCAATCCATTGCTAAAGTTTATTTCGTTTGTTCTATTTTGCTACTAGAATCAAAGCTGATAATGTTCAAAGATCTACTCAGCACTTTTCTTCTTTTCTTTCAAAACATAGACAACTCCATATTTTTAAACCCTTTAAAGTAAGGGATTCGATGGAATAAGTCAGTCAGTGATTAGGGAAATTAATCATTTTATTACTAAGCCCCTTGTTCATATAATAAATCTTTCATTTTCTTCGGGGAGTTTCCCCCAAAAATTGTTCCTGTATTTAAAAAAGGACCCTCACATACGTTAACTCCGTTTCGTTGACGATCAGCCATGCATCAAAGCATTCGTCTTCTTTGTAGATGGCTGATCGTAAACGAAACGGAGTTAAGTCTTTTGTCAACTCTGTTTGTTGCTACGGCAGGCAGCCAGTGAAAACGAATTAATCAAATTATGGAAATTCAATTATTAGAAATATGATTTTCTCTTTTAAAATCAGATACCGCCCGCCAAATGACTTTTTGGTACCCTTTCTTCAAATGTTTTAAACCACTCATGCGTGAAATATGCATCATATGACCTGCATTAAATGAAAGAGGAGGATCTAAGCTTTACAAATATGTGTCATTTATTAATTGTTACTGTGATAAAGTTATGATAAAACATCGATAATTCTCGGTTTCCTTTTTCTGAAACACACTGTATTATTGTCATTGTATTTTGTTTATGATTGAGAAAAAGAATAAATTGAACCATTAAACCATTCAACCATAATTACATTAAACATTATTATCGAGACAAACAAGTTTTTAAATGTGACCTATTTGACTTTAATTGTGTAACTAATGACCCTTGGAATGTGGCCTGAAATCCATTGTTGAATGCGATATAGAGCATGGAAACCCCCGGCCCCCACTCAGAGTTCGGAATGACCGCATGCGTGTTGCCAAAATGTCCTGTAAAGGGGTACTTTTCGTGCGACAAAGTCCGGCCCGAGAATTGTAAAAAAAGGGGTGTATTTGACTTTTCACCCTGAGATTCTTTAAAAAGGGGGTGTTTTTCTTTTTCTCTCTCATCTCTTTGGACTCCCGAGAAATTATTCCGAATTTAGGGGGGTACATTGAGCATTTTTCCTGATTTAGGGGGGTCTCCAAGGCAGGAAAAGCCCGCGAAAAGCCCGCCAAAAACGGGCGAAAGGGGGGTTCGGAAATGTTGGCAGTCCTCAGATAGGGGGTGCTTTCAAAAAGAGGGTATGAGCATATGCGTACCCTAAATAACACTGAGTGGGGGGGGGGGGGGGCCGGGTGGAAACCACGGGCAGTTGAGGACAATTCTATATTTTCAATTAGGTAAAGAAGACCAATCAATAAATGAGTTTTATTTGTATGTTTGCAGTTCTAGTCTGGTTTTAAGTCAATGGTTACCACAGTAGACTAGACTAGGCTAATAGAGATCATATAGTCTCTTACGTAGGAGCACTGCGGTGTATTGGTGTAAGAGGGTTCAATCTTTAGTCGGTATGTGCCTACATCACTGGACAAGGTGTCCTAGCCCACATTTGTCCATTTCCACCTAGGTGTATTACTGCAGGTAGAGCATCATTAATTCTGACATATCTAACCTAGGTGAATAAGAACAATTTATTATTTGTTTTCTTTACTATCGGATCCATTTCAAATTATGTTAATATTAATTAGAAGGGATATCATATCATTCACTGCGGAGCTTCCAGGGTAGTAAAGAAAAGAAAAAGAAAAACCCATGCTTCTCGAGAAAATCTGTGTTTGCAGCTGAGCAGCCTTTTGCAAGCATTTAATGAGCTTCACAGTATTTTACATTTTACATACCGGTAATAGTACAATGAAATACATGTAGATATTGCATGCATCCCAGTAATATTGTCCAGATCAAACAAGAACTGTCTGTTTGTCTGTAAACTCACATCATGTTAATGCCCTTCTGGGTCCAAACAGACAATATGTGGATACTTTTATGAATGATAATGGAATGCTGTAGCATTGGTTTGAAGTTAATCTCCCCAACGATAACATTTGACAACATAGTGCATGGGAGATGTGCATTCTATCAAAATGTCTCCCACAAGTAAAACTTAATAAACTCATTATTTTGAGACATGTGGGAAATTGTGCACATTGGACTATCATTGTGATTACAAATCTCTTTAATATGTCTTGTCTATGATTGATGAAACATCAAAATCTGTTTAAATTTGAAATCTATTAAGTAGTAGGTAATGGACTGGAAAGAACCAGAATGATTGGTCCTTATAGGATAATAAGCCATGCAGAAGAGAATGAATAGACAATCCTGGTTTTCATCATAATTGATTTATTCTATGCGATGAAGCTGAGAGATCCCTTTGAAAAGCCGAAAATAATGTCACCACTGCACGTTAGGGAGCTGCACATTAGTGAGCATCATTTGAATAGCTCCATAGAATGAGAACATAAAAGGAAATATTTAATGATGTACTCCCTGGCCTAGGAGCTAGGCAATACACCAGTTCACATATGTAGTAATCTTTTGAGAATAATTCTGCTATCACGTTTAAAACTTGTCATAGGTTTATCTGACATTGCAACAACCAAGTACACACTGTATATAATCTTACTATTGAGATTGAAATATGTCATAACTGGTGAATTCAACATTTTGTTACAATGGTCTTGGGATACAAAATATTCCAAAGTTTGAATACTTTTGTGAACAGGTCTATTTCCTTCTTTGTAGTCTTCATCTCTAAGCACTAGTCTATTCACTGAGACTCAATATGAATACACAATGAGGGTGATTCAAAGGGTGGTATATGAGCACCTTAAACCGGTCCTTAATCAAACAATGATTCAAGAAATTAGAAACATTTTAAAGTTTTATTGATCAGTTATGACAAATTATGTCCCAATCATAAATTATCTTTCTTTAAATGAAAAAAAAAAGCATCAGTAATGGTTCTGTTTAAAAAAAGTAAAAAGATCCTAAAATGAGGCAGAAAAGCATACATATTCATTTTTAACAAACTACATACCATTTTGTACATATTTATAAGTAAATAAATAACTTGTTCCAATACAAAGTCTGAAAAAGCGTGAAATAGAAGGAAAAAAATCAGAGTCTGAAATCAGGCTATGGCCTGAAAAGCTGGCATCCTTGTATTAAAGTAACTAACAACAAATTCATGAAGAAAAATGGCAATGCTTACACTTGTGAGGAGTATAATTCATTAATCTTTTGAAAAAGTGCATTAAACAAATAAGTAGGCGGTTTTAACAATTACGAGGAGCAGGTTTGTAGAGTACATAGTAACATAAATTTAAATACAAAAAAAATAATTGGGGTATGCATTTGAAAAGATGGCCTCCATTATGTGATGAATACACAAATATCACCCACCTATCATCCGACTTCATACAATACGTTAGTGAACTTCCTCCTCGTTACGAATGTCACACATAAACAAAATGACTAACAAATGTGGAAAATTCCATTCACTCCCTATCATACTCAGGCACGTACGCAGGGGGGGGGGGGGGTGTTGAACCCCCCCTTTGGTATTTTTTATGTGTGTATTTTGGAGGAAACCCCCCCCCCCCCCCCGCTTTGGAAATTAAAAAAAAATAAAAAAAATTATGCCAATGGCTGACCTAAAAAAGTTGACCTTACCCCCCCCCCCCCCAACGGAGCAAAATGTCAAATTTTGAGACCCCCCCTAAAAAAGAAGTGTCCTCTTACCCCCCCCCCCTTGAAAAAATCCTGGGTACGCGCCTGATCATACTTAATCAAAAGTTAGTGTATGGATTATGATATGTCAACAAATAATGCATCCATAGTGATCTATTGAAACATGTGAGTAAAGTCCCTAAAACCTGCACCTATCATTCAGCTTAACTCATGTGTACTCTCATTTGTCTGTGTGCAGGAACCATTAATTGATAATGTCTGTTGATTAGATGTAGGGCTTTATTATTACTGATTGATTACAGACCCTCCTGATTGCAGTCTCAAGCCCACACGACGGTGTGAACAGGAACTAGTACAATTGTTAGTCTACCTTTTTCTTTGCATACTTCCTGATAAGAGATCTCTGGGGAAAAAGAGATAAAAACACAAAGATTGCCCTTGAGGGAATTCATTTTCTTAAAAAAAAAATCTCTATACTGGAATCATGAGACAGTTCAGGGTAGGGAATACTGTTATTCTGGTTCTGCAAAGTAGTATGTGATGATGTGATGGGGGAACTGGACTCGCTGTTTGAAACCATAGGGGAACACTCACTAGGGCCTGGACTTGAAAACTCAGTCCAATGGATCCCTGTTCTCTATCAATATTCCAATCATTTGGTGAGCACACTTGTAGACTTTGGCATGCTCTCAATGTGAGTCCATTTAATAGTCCTGTATGAAAAGATGTGGGAACACTTGACTTGTTGCTTGAGCCATCTAGCAACAGTTAGTAGGTCCTGAACCTGAAAACTCATGCCAGTATAATCCCTCTTCTACGTCTCTAAATCCATCCAAGAGTAGACTTCCGTGCTTGGTCAGTCCGTGAAATAGTCCTCTATGATGTGATGTGGGAACTGGACCTGTTGCTCAAACCACTTAGCAACAGTCAGTAGGTCCTGGTCTTGAAAGCACTTGCCGATAAGCTGGATACCTATTGGAAGACCTCTATTGGATAGCATTGCTGGTACCACCACTGCAGGCAAACCTGAGCAAAAAGAGAGGGAAATAAGATTCAGTGAATGCAATAAATTTGACAAAATGACACAAGGTTGCTAATGGCAGTGGCGGATCCAGGGGGGGCCGAAACGGCCGCGGCCCCCCTATTGGCGGCGCAAAAAAAGGAAAAAAAGAGAAAGAAAAGAAGAGAAAAAAGAAAGAAGAGAAGAAAAAGGAGAAGAGAAAAGAAAGGAGAAGAGAAAAGAAAAGAGAAGAGAAAAGAAAGAAGAGAAAAGAAGCAGAAAGAGAGAAAAAAAAGGAGAAAAGAAAAAGAAGAAAGCCCCCCCCCCCCCCTCCCTCCCTCCCACTCCGGGAATCTCCGATAAAGGGTAACTTTTCACGCAACAAAGTCCGGCCCGTAATACACAAAATCCGGCCCGTACTGACTTTACACACTGGAGGTCACTTTGACAGGTGGCTCATTAACTCAGCTCTCATTTAACATAAGAAAAAGAGGATCATGGGGGACCAACAGACGCCGATTGGGGAAGTTTTCTATATAGAGGGAGCAAGTAGCTACAAGTAGGACAGTGTGCCTTTAAGAGTCGAGAATGGAACAACCAATCATCTTCTTCCTCTAACAATATCATTAAACTATGAAAAGTCAAAGCTTTAGGGGGGGGGGGGAAGAACTGAATTTAGAGAAGGATCGAGATTCGAGAATGGTACAACGAATCCTCTTCTTTCTCTAATAATTTAACGAAACGTCAAAGCTGCCGCGCTTATTTCAAAAATCATCTATGAACAGTATATTATCATACATCTTATGAAAGATTGTTTTATCCCATATCATTTAGTATCATTTTTGTGTGGTATGTGTTCACGCTTGGATGAACAGGAGGCATTGTTTGCGAGAGTGCAAAAATCGACTTAAATGCGCCAAAGTTTCTTATGGGATGTTTGAATAAAACAATTGGGATTTGGGTATTAATTCTTTCTTTGCAGATCCAAATAACACCCGTAACAAAATAAATCATGCCACACAATATCAAATATCAAATGTATGTGTGTGTGACTTTGCTTCTGCAAAAAGCCTATGCAATGCATCTTATTTGATACATTTAATTCATCCTCTATTACTTTAATACATCACATAAGCAACTTTGGCACAAGTCGATTTTTGCACCCTTGCAAACAATGCCTCCTGTTCACATACCACACAAAAAAGATACCAAATGATTTGGGATATAACACTCTTTCATAAGATGTATAATAATTTACTGTCCATAGATGATCTTTAAAATAATTAGCCATTTTCTAGGTGTAAACTTTTTTTTTGACTCACACGGTTTAGATCTAAAAAGGTAAAAGATTGATCTATAAGGTTATGAGAAGTCACAAACTTATAAATCATATTGTCAGAGGTTTATTCAGGATGAGAGGTAAGAACATGTATTCCAACTTCATATGCAACTGTATATTTTCAATACTACGGATAAAAATAAAACGTACCAAAAAATGATTCTTGCTGGCTGTATGTCGTTCAAACAATATTGAGTGATTGATTTAAAAAATGAAACGGATTTCATATTTTCTTTGTTGGTCATGAGAATTTATAGTATCACGTTGCACTTATTGATGTATTTTCTTTTAACGTCCTGTTGCATGCATCACATCTACAAAAGGTATTGTATTTTCCTGCGGTGCAACATATAGCAGGAAAATGTTGTATATGCGGATCCGTTTAATGATTACTTAATGGGAGTGGCGAGACGCCACGATCCCGCGAAGCGGGATGGTTTGAATAACTTAGGCATGTGTAAGTTATTGTATTGAGAAGGAAAGGAATGTTCAGAAAGGCATAATAAGAGAGGGAAATGGGCGTGGTAGCCATTCTAGCTTTGTCAGACACTAGATACACGACACAAATTTCAAGTGGAAATTTTAATACAGAACAATAGTTTGGTGTTTGTTTTTGTAGAAGGTTTAGAGATTCAAATAGATTATTTTTATTGGGACGATTTGCCATTAGGTTTTTCCAGAGCATTTGCCTTATTTAGTTTATCTCTGGTTTTTTCAACCTAGGGAATCGGTCCGGGCGTGGGGAAAAAAGGCAAAGCCCCATGCAGGTTAGGGATCAAAGCAGATCAAAATTAATATTTTGCACTGTTCTATACAATGTCAGTATATATTTAGGTGTGAACGTTGACGATTGAGATTGAAATTATGCAATGTTAACAATATTTACACTTGATATTTTCAAAATCAAGAATGAGCTTAAAAAATTGAAATTATTTTGATGTTCAAAATGATATAATAACAAAGATTGTTCATGATTGTTCAAAAAGATACAATTCGAATAAAAGCTGGCTTGGTCGGTCTGGCAGGCTTTTCCATAAAGATTGTTATTGATGTAATCTGTGAGTCATTAACTGAGTAATGAAGCATGAGAATATACTTAAAAATGCCGGTACCCTGCATGTCTGCAAATGATGAATTTGATTTTAAAAGTACAGGTACACTCAGATCCTGTTTACAGATTTTCGTTTGATTTCGTCGATAGATTTACCATATATCTTACATTAAAAGAGGATTATGAATGGGCCTTTGCCTTGGTCATGGCGGGGGAGACCCGAGGATCTGGCGCGGGCGGGTGGGTTCGCGCGTCTCTGGTTTCTCTGGGAGCGGACATGTGCAGATTTTGGTGCACGTTGTTGATGGTCCATTATTTAATTTATACTGGGAATCTCGCTCAACAAAGCTAGCTTTTCTGAGGTTCCCTTTTTTCCCCTCTCAGTTAAATCAAGCAATATAAAATATTTTGTCTTATTCTCAAACTTGAATGTACTCTGTAAACTTATTTGATTACGAACATACTTGTCAGTATTTCGTTACTTGTATAATTCATTTGTTCTATTATATATTGTATTATTGTATGGTTTATATATGTCATTTAATTTGTGGATATTTGAGTGAAAATAAATCAAATCAAATCCAAAAAAAAAATTAAAAAATGATGAAACTTGTAAAACAATCTTCCAACTTGAATCTGTAGATATTTATGTCTTCAACCATATTCAATAACTGTCATTAGAAATTGCCGTCATTACTATTTCGTCTCATCATTTAGACTTTAATAGACAGTGGCTGCGACCTTGTGTAAAATAAACTAATATAGATGGAGACTACGTGTATGTAGTTTGATTATTGGATAAATAAACGCACTATTAACAAAGATTTAAATATTAAGGTTCGAACCCCTGCCACAGCGCGAATGTCCTTCGGCAAAACATCAATCTACATTTGCCATCCTTCACCCAGGTGAAATAAATGGGTACCCGGTAGGAAGAGATAGATTGCTTCAATGCTTATCATGGCCGCAGGGCTAAAAGCCGGTGTTATAATGTGATCGAGAGTAGTATACATATTATTGAAAATATCCTGCGTATAAACCTCTTCAAACAAAAACTATTATAGACATGTATCTCATTCATTTTATTTGTATACGTAAGGAAGATGTGCGTGAAGCCAAGCTCAGACAATATGAGTTGGACAATACACGGGTATGTGGATATACCCGTACCATTAAGCAGCATATAATCATAATAATAATAATAATAATAATAATAATAATAATAATAATCTTTTATAGTCCATATTTTGTAATCTTTTATTAAGTTAAACCGAAAATGGAAATTCTTTTTGCCCAATTGATCGTGAGCCCGGCAGCCACTGAGCAGCGCCAGATCGACATTGCTCTATCCCTTATTGTTGAACGCCAAACAAGGTCTTTTAACGTCTTTTGGTATGACGCGGCCGAGGTTCGAACCCTCGACCTCCCGGTAGTGAGGCGGACGCTCTACTGACTTAGCCAACACACAGGTACATGGACAGGGGCAGGGGCGGCGATCCTGGGCCCGATAGGGGGACACGTCGCCCTGGAAATTTAAAAATACAGCTAGAAAGACATATAGCGGAAAGAATTATTGGGCTTAGGGATTTTCTAGAATGCATAATTTCAGCATTCAACATTGCAAAATCTCGCTTGGTCGCTAAGCCCCGGCCCTCGCCCGATAACACAAAACTATGATATGATATGACATGATATGACGCTCCCGGCCGTGATTTATCCATGGTTGGTGTGATAGATCTTTTTTTCCTTTCGTTTCTACTAACCTAATTGTGTGCTATCACAATCATGATTGCTTCATGTTTCCTTTAAAGCAGGCGTGTAGCCAAGGGCGGGAAGGGGCAGTAAGAGCTAGGACATAAGACAAAAAAATATTTTTGAAAATTCTGACAAGTCGAAAACGGTACAACAAATCGTCTTCTTTCTCTAATAATTTAATGACACGTTAAGCTTCTGCGCTTAGCGCGGGAGGGGGGAGGGGACTGAATTCAGTGAAGGATTAAGGGCAGGCTTTACTACTTCAGCCAGAAAGGGTTAGACCACCAAGCGAGCCAGCAAGGTCACTGTTGGCACAGGTGGCTATCTCATTAACTCAGCTCTCATTTAACGTAAGAAAAAGAGGATCATGGGGGACCAACAAACACCGATTGGGGAAGTTTTCTATATAGAGGGAGCAGGTAGCTACAAGTAGGACAGTCGAGAATGGAACAACCAATCATCTTCTTCCTCTAACAATATCATTAAACTATGGAAAGTTAAAGCTTCCGCGCTTTGCGCGGGAGGGGGGAGGAACTGAATTCAGACAAGGATCGAGATTTGAGAATGGTACAACGAATCCTCTCCTTTCTCTAATAATTTAATGAAACGTCAAAGCTGCCGCGCTTCGCGCGGGAAGGGGAAAGACTGAATTCAAACAAGGATTAAGAGTCGAGAATGGTACAACGAATGGTCTTCTTTCTCTCATAATTTAATGAAGCGTCCGAAAATTACGCGCTACGCGCGGGCGGGGGAAAACCGAATTCAGACAAGGATTATTTTAGAGTCGAGAATATAACAACGAATCATCTTCTTTCTCTAATAATTTAATGAAACTTTTGTGATGAAAGAGGCTTTAGCCCCCCCCCCCCCCGATGAAAATG